GTTTTTAGAAAAAAAGCTTTAAGAAACCGATGTATTCAGCTGGCTCGTTCGAAGCTAGCAAAACCCCCTGTATTTAAAAAAAATAAAGGACAATGGGCACAAATGTATGGGAAATTACCTCATCCCCAATAAGGATAAGTTATATACCAATTGAAAGATATTTATAGGGAGAACATCTCTCTTCAATACGACTCATCTCAATTACTTGTCCGTTCCGAGTTATATCATCCTAAATGTAACTAATTTCACAATAGGTCAATGCTTATATTCTGTTATTGTAGTACTTATTACAGGCAAATAATAATAATAATAATAATAATAATAATTATTACTTCTTAGTAATATAAAAACATTTATAATATCCGGGTATATCATATTATGATGCTGTCGAGAATTTTATACGCAACGTGTATCCCTTACCAAAGAACATCTACGTAAAAGAAGAAGACAAAATATGAGATCTCGAGATTAGAATGGATGTTGCAGTTGAGCCATTATCAATTTGAATAATAGCAATGGCGATTATAGTTGTTCGTCATCCGATGAGTTTTCTTCAGACGATAATAAATAATAATATAATACTGTAAGTATTTTTTTTTTATTTTGAAATAGCGACCATACCGATTAGTGATGTGATCATCGAATGGTACATCATTCGAATATTATTACCATCATTCGAATTAATTCGATTATTACCATCATTCGAATTAATTCGATTATTACCATCATTCGAATTAATTCGATTATACTAATAATATCATTCGAATCATTTGAAATGTCTGAAATTGTAATAAACGAACGTGAGTTACTTGGGAACCTATTTTAAAATAATGGGAGTACTCATTTCTCTCAAGAAATTAATGAGAAATGTCATACATCAATATGGAAATAATATTTTTAAAGCCAGTGAGAAGTGACTGTTTCTCTCAGTTTTTTCGGGAGAATTAATATTCTCCTAAGCCTTTTAATCCTCACTGCCTCTTAAAATACTGTTTTCACGCTGACATATGTCATTTCTCATGAAAATTTTGAGTTTGAAAATAGGTCCCCAGGTGACTTGTTGAAATATGGAGAATAATAGGCATCCAAAATTGTCTATTTTTCCTAACGTTTTTACGTCTCCTCTTTTAGGGTATCGCGTTCTAATTGGCTAGATCTCCGTCGAGTCGGGGAACCACCCAACCACTTCAATCAGTACGCCGTGCACCAGCGCCATAATCAAAACGGTGGCATGATAAATAAAAGTAAATATTGACGTATAACGTTTTAGACTTAGGTGTACTGTGTTCCGATTGGATAGTAAACTGTCAATACATAATAACTTTTGACACATTGATCTTGACCAACCCAATAATTCATGATGGCGTATAATAAATCATTCGAATGATTTGATTCGAATACTCGATAAATTTGATTTTTAATCATCCCAGTATTCGATTATGATGATCATTCGATTATGCCCATCACTTAATTCCGATCGTGATTGCCTGATATTTCCTCAATTTATTTATTTATTATATAATCCTCCGACGATAAAAAAGTAGCCTAGCCTTAACCTTTTACGATATTTTCCGTACGCCACTGAAAGAGACAGATTAACGCAGTCATCACAACCATTTCTGTGAATTTAGTACCTACTTACCTACTATTTTGGAACTGTAGTTTAGTTGTATTTGTTTCCTTGCAATTACCGACAAATTTTGCTACTTTAATAGTCTCTCAGTTTTTGACGCAATTGTATGTACCTGTATGTAGTCAATTTATGCATTTAATTTTTTTTCAGTCTAGTTCAACTGCTGCCACTGAACCTTAAATGGAAATGAAATCATTTCACCAACCCAACATATAGCTTTCATTTTGTAAAGTGGCAGTTATAGGTGTAGTTAATTAACGGAAAAAAACGAGATGCTTCTATAAATATTCATGGATTTTCTTATATAGTAGGTATTGAAAGCATTCGTACGGTTTTGTTTTTTTTTATGAAGAATGATACATTTATTACGATTAAACTACAGATTATGCAGTAATTAAAAATCAATTAATCGATTAGTTCGGATGATTTAAAATGTTTCATAATTATGTTACGTAATTTATATTAGAGTTTGGTTTTTTTTTATTAATTATTCCTTTAACGAACCCAACATATACGAAATAATACAGTCAAAAAGGTTACAATGGTTGGGACACATTTTTTACAAAAGAAAGAAAAATGAAAATGTTGAACTAGAAGTAAACCAAGTGCCTAATATTTTCGAGTCTAGAGAACCAGCAGTAATAATCATCGATACCATGCCAACTAATAATGTAAAGATTGATGAAAATACCAATAAAAAATGGAAAATCGAACCTGAAGTTGGAAAAATATTTATTGAGAATGTTGATCAAGAAGAAAACCAAGTATCTGGTAATGACTCTAGGGAAGCAGTGGACGTTGAAGCACTTAAGAGAACATTGGAGAAGAAGAGAAAAAAAAGCTGTCAATGAGGAAAATAACGACAGTGAAGACATAGGAGGAAGCGCCGGGGAGGGTTCCTCTTATAAAAAAGAAGCAGACACAGTTGAAAAAGAAAATAGAAACATATTCATAGGAATATGATTCCACATACACAGAGCTAAATTTTTTAACTGTGAAATATCAAAAAAAAAAAAAACAAATGGACCAAAATCAAGATTAAACAAGATTACAAAATCAAAAAGTTATATCCTTTAATGCCTGAAAATCGAGTACATTTTTGGGAAGAACTGCCAATTTCCAATGAAGTAATAAATTTGTCCACAGAATCATATGTTGAATATTATTAAATCTTTTTATCTGTCTTTTTATAATAATTTAAACAATTAAACGTTTCATTTTTATAAATATATTATTCCGGTACATTTTTGCAATAAAATAGTGTCAAAGTTATATTTAAGTTTCGACAAAACAATAATAATTGCAAATACTTTATTTATTATTATAATACTATGATACTCCAAAACACCTTAACTACAAACATAAGGTGTTTTTGTGTAAAATTCAAACCAAAGTAAGATACAGTATGATACAGAAAAAACTCATGTGTAGATAAGGCGTTTTCGAGCAATACCTGACAGTCACAGAAATAACTTTACTACACTTATTAATATTATTAAACAAAAATACCCCAAAAATGTCCTTAATTAAACATGTTTCATAAAAAACTTTAAAAAAATAATTTCGGCAAACGATTAATATTAAAAATAGTGATGCTATGAAAGTTATTGTGAAAATTTTACCTTGAATCACATGAGCCATTTTTTGCTAACACGGCAGTATAATTTGTATAACAATAGGAAATTATTTTTAAAAGTAAACGATGAACTATCATGTCCACAAGAATCGGGGCGTGGGATCCTTTAAGGAAGTATTTTAAGCCCTTTACTTTATAATATTTACACGTTTGATATAGAAAATTGTATTCCAAGATCTACAAATATTCTTCAATACGCAGATGATGTAGTGATCTAAATAATCCGCAAAAAAATTAATTATTGCCATAATCAGGTAAAGCAACTTTAATGTAATTTGTAAAATAATAAAGTCTGTTATATGATATTATTTGTTCACCTGACAATTGACTGGCCTGTTGGTTTATATCCAGTGCCACTAACTTAGTTAACAACGCCACTGACGCATAACCAAAGATGGTGCTTCACACCTCTGGCTGAAAATTCAACATCGGCAAAGAAATGTCGAAGTTATAGTTAATTAAAATTATGCAATTTTTGGCTATCCCACTTCATCTGCAGTGTAGTTTATAATCAATTTTAATTGGATATAATTTATACGTAAACTTTGCTGACACTGCAAAATTTTAGCGAATAAAGATATTGTTATTATATGACAGTCGAGAATATGACAGAAAGGTGTCCCTCTAGGAATACAAAGCCACCTGTTTAGCGTTTTTTTTTTTTTATTAATATTTTACTTCAAGATATTTACTTTCGTTTTCGGTGCCTCCCCTGTATGTTGCTTAAAAATTGTAATTTTACCCTACTGTCAGATATGTTGTTTCCTATTTATCTATAATAATATCAAGAGATGATAAAAACATTGTTCTCCTACAAAGTAACTTCAAAGAAAGATTGCCTTATAAATTGTAACTAATACAACACTCGAAACAATAGTATATTATACACCGAGGTGGGAAGAGTTTCATTCCTGTCGTGAGATTAGTTAGATCACCGAGACGCGAAGCGCCGAGGTTAGCTATGATCTCGAGACAGGAATGAAACTTCCTACCGAGGTTTGTATACTATTTTATTTACAACCATCATATTTCGATCAAAGTTAATAAATCTCTGTTTCGTTCTGAACATACCTAAAATATTACATTTAACGACAAATTATCAAGCCCGCGGTTTTGTTAGAATAATCATGTAAATATATTGTTATTGTAATTACGGGGTAAACAAATGTCAGATAAAGCCGGATATTAAATTCGCGAATAATAAATATCAATAAATAGTTTGTTGTATTTTAGTTCATTGTTGTTTTTTATTGTTTGCCATTAAATAGGCATTATAAAATTTGTCAAAAAAGTGTTATTTTTTTAAATATAAAAAATATTCATCTAGAATAGATGAAATGAGGGCGGGAAGTAGAGGTGTGTAATGTGACACTTCCCAACCTTCAATGACGTTAGTAATGACAACATTACATATATGATTGTAAATAAAAAATATTATGCCTCAAAACTTGGACGCAGCTATTCCACTATAGAAAGATAGAACCGGAGAACCGAGCATCTTCAACCAAATTCTATATCTCGGGAACTACAAAAGTAGGTACCAAGATTTTGTTGTCATTTTGCTTCTCTAAGTTTCCCTATCTTATATCTGAGTCTAATAAGGTTTTGGCTTTTTCTATCCCGCGATCGCGGCATGGATAGAAAGACATTGGCACTTTAATATAGTAAGATTACATGAAGTGGACAACTATATTTGCAGTTCAACGAGAGAAAAAAAATTCAAAAACTCACTTGACTGAGACCGATTCTGTAACTGGATACTTCCAAGTCCAGAGCTATCAGCATATCTTCAACAGCCTTTTTTTCATCCAAAACCGGCGAAGACGATTTGTAATCCGTTGCTAGTAGATTAAATTTTCTTCTAAATTCTCCTAGAGGAAGTGAAGTAGGAAAACCCTGTTTGTATAATCTCACAGCGTCCAAAATTTGACCACCTCTTATCTAAAACACGAAAATATTTAATCGTTTAAATAAAAAAAAGCTGCAAATACATATTATAACAAATACTTACTTGAGACCTGAGAAGAGGAACATTCAATAACGAATCATCGGGTTGTCCTGTAGTTTTCACAGCCATTAATGATGCATTTGCTTCGCACAATCCAGCATTATGTTGAGGCAAAATGCATTGAACAAATCTCAGTTTGGTCCTTCTCAAAGTTTCTATTAGACCATCAATGGTAAATTTAGTCTAAAAAATATGAAAAAAAGTTTTTAATCCTACATAAACAGAAAACTCAATTTTGACGTCTCTATAGAGACCTTTTCTTGGCTAACCTGGCAAAATAACTAGAAATGACAGCCAGTACAAAGAACTGAAATTAGGAGAATGGATTTGATGTCAATTCTTGCTCAAAATTTACGTTCCGTTAAGGAGATTCAAAATTGATGTTTGAATTTGCGCAGTATCAGATATGTCAATTGTCATTCGTAAAATTGATTTGAAAATAAATGTTAATTTTATTCATCCAAAAACAATTTTTGGGACGATTAACCGCGTATTGTACAACCCACCACTAATTTTTTTCTGAAAACATTATTATATATATTTTTTCAAATTATGTCCTTGTTTGGCACCTTACTGCGCAAATTCAAAAAAACCTCAATTTTATTCCCCTTGTAGGCAGGGACCCGGACCGTACCGTTAAAAACAGAAAACCGGACCGGAACCGAAAACTTTTATTGGACCGGAACCGAAACTAAACCGTTATTTTATCCAGAATTAAATTTTTATAACCGAACCGGAACCGTTAATATTTGAAACGGTTTTATCGGTTTCGTTGTTCCTATTGTTACGTTTTTTTTGTTTCGACTAAACAAATAGATTTGCCATCAGTTACAATAAAACAAAGAAAGGACAATAGTGAACAATAAATAGCATTCACAATAGCAGGAAAGAATAGGATATTGTATAGCCGCTACCGACCAATGAATCCACCTGTGAGTAGCAACATTTTGTTTCTTTTCCTGCATGTGTGTACGTGATTTACTATTCATTTATATTTTTAGTTTTATTTTTTTAATGAAAATAAAAAGTGTTTAAATTATTATTTACATTTTCTTTTACTTCTGGTCTACCTATTTTATTTAAATAAATTAACTCCTAAAATAATATAAGTAATTTATGTAGGTATTAAATAAAATTATACTACCTATTTACAACTCTAATTTTTATATTTGTAATGTTTGTCCTTTACAAGCAATTAATAAGGTATGAAAAATCTGTAACGAAAAGAACCGTTTGGACCGAAAACTTTGGTCAGAACCGAACCGAAATATTTTTCAAAGAACCGAAACTGAACCGGACCCAAAATTTTTAGTTTTACTAGTACCAGAACCGAACCGGAACCTTTAAGTTCATTTCGGTCCGGGTCTCTGCTTGTAGCATTGCGTTCGGTCTGCCAAGTTTCTTTAACTCCTTTAACACTTTTAACTCCAAACGACCCTTTTAGCGTTAGGTTTAGTCCGATTAGTGACAGTTTAACACGCTTAAATGTCATTTAAAAGCACCCTAAAAGTTGTCCCGCTCCAGCCCCTGACTGACCGAACTCGCCTTAGGAACGTTTTTGTAAACTGTCAAATCCATTCTCCTAATTTCAGTTCTGTGAGCCAGTAAAATAATCGCATTAATTTGCCGTCAGATGGTGCACCACTTAATTTTGACAGTTCTTTTCACACATTATTATTAAATTACTTTTGTTGCATTGTTCATAAAGAATAGAAACTTGTTTATGCTGCTACAGGTTATGTGTTAGTGATATTTATTTATGATTGATGTTGTAGTAATTTTTTCAAAATAAATTATTATAAAGATAGGTCATACGCTGCAATACACATTACACATACATGTTGTGTGTGTTGTCGTCAAGTAGTTAATAAATAAATAATTTTTAGCAGTCTGGTGTCATTTTCTAAAACATTTGTCATTTTTGTAGTTGGTACCAATGCGGGCTTGCTTATTTAAATTCAATTTTCTTTTAAAAAAGCAATAATCATTTCATTTTAGTGTAGGGTAAAGTTTTCTTTTGGTTCAAGATAAAACATAGTATGTAAACCACGACAGTAAAGTGGTTTCCCAGGCCTCGTAGAGTCCATATCTTTACTTGGCCTGGAAAACAGTAACTTAACTTCCTAGCTATACAATATACTATTAGTGAAAATTAAATAGAATATCTACACTCACCGGCAGAATTAACCGCCCATCCAATGTTTTGTTATTTAGTTGGAGATATTTGTAATTTTTGATTTTTTTTACTTTTTAATATCTAAGTACATCTTGAAAAAGCTAACAAATACCAATCAAATGAAAGTTTTTGTTTAATTTTAGAAATTAAAAGAAAAACAGTTTTTGAAAATTTTGAACTTTTTGAATAAGATGAGCAATACATGAAATTTATCGACAAAAAAGTATTGTTATTAACAAAATTCACTTTAGTAACGAGTGTTAACCCCTCTTGCCCTGATCACATCACTAAGCCTGCGTGGAATGGTATCCATGATGGCTTGAATCTCAGCTTGTGGGATGTTTTCCCATTCTTCCACCGCAGCAGTTTTCAGCTCTCGAATAGTGGTTGGAGCTAGTCTTCGTGCTCGAATCCGTTTTTTTAGGTTGTCCCAAATGTTTTCAATTGGATTGAGGTCAGGACTCTGTGCTGGTCATGGCAAAGTTCTGATGCTAACTTCGTTAAGGTATTGCGTAACCACTTGAGCGACATGACATCGTGCGTTGTCTTGCTGAAGAACAAAGTCCTCGCCAATATATGGTGCAAAAGGAATGACATGTTCTTGAAGAACTTCTTGAACATACCTGTGAGCATCTACACCGCCTCTAGAAAAAATTACCAGATCCGTACGAGCCTCGTAAGAAATTCCACCCCATATCATTATTGAGCCTCCTTGATAACCCACAGTTTCCATAAGAACACAAGGAGCAAACCGCTCTGTCGGGCGTCTATATACACGCTGACGGCCATCTGGACATTTTAAAGCAATTCTGCTCTCGTCAGAGAATAAAACATTCTTCCACTGATCCAAATTCCACATACTGTATTCACGCCCAAACCGGAGTATAGCTGTTTTGTGATGCGGGCGAAGCTGAGGGGCTCGGTAAGGGCGTCTCGCTATAACATTCCTTTCTGCCAACCTCCTTCTTATGGTTCTCTCGCTGACCTCCACATTTCTAAACTCAGCAAGACGAGTACGGGCTTCAACAGCGATACAGAACCGATCTCTTAAAATCGTCCCTCATTGAAGTGCAGCGATGGCGGCCCTGACCAGGCCTTTTGGTGTAAGAACCTGTCTCTCGAAGACGCCTTATGGCATCTCTGACTGTTTCACGAGCAGCACCAAGTATTTCAGCAATACGACGTTGACTATAACCTTCATCAGATAGAACTACAGCCTTGGCTACTGATTCTGCTCCCAATGGCATTGTTTTGAATAAAACTGTTTTGAACTTAACTTAAACCGATTTTATAAAATATACACCAACACTAAATAAGTCTAATTAAGTCTAATAAAGAAAAAAATTGTAAATACACTATCATTAAACAAGCCAAATTGGAACCAAATTACTAATAAAAAGTGAAAGAATGACAGCACTGACAGTTAAACATTTATTTACTGTCAAAATGTCACGTCATATCAATTAATTTTAAAAAGTGACGAAAATCTCCGAAAATTTCAGAAATAAATAAAAATAATTGGGTGGGTGGTTAATTCTGCCGGTGAGTGTATAAACATAATTATTTGAAGATATATTTAGTCAAACGTTCTTTTAGACTACACCAATTTGGATAAAAATTTGTAATTAAGCTTATCTTACCCTCTTTAAAAGTTATATATTCCTGATGTGAGCTTTTTATTTTTAAGGGTTGAAAAGTACCCTTTGAAAATCATATATTTAAGCGTTTCTTTGATTAAAATCACGTTTAAATTTAAAAAAAAAGTTTTATAATATTGAACATAATTTGTGTTCTATTGTAATGTTTCAACCCTGGAAAACCATCCCCTGTGACGAAATTTACAAAAATAATTACATTTTGAAACTATAATGGTGCATTCATAATGAAATTAAATAAATGCTTACTTGAAGACAAACGCTCTTCCGTTTTATTCCAGCAGCGCCTGTGAAAGTCCTTCGTATACTTGAAGCTCTACGTAATGACTGCGAACCGTCTAAGCCTACTAATGAACCTCCAAAACTCGACGGTCCTAAACCTCTTACAGTAACAAATAACGCGCTGAGGTCTTCCCTGGAACAATAATTAATTTTAAAACATCAAGGAGAATTTAAATAAATTGATTATAGGTAAAAGTAGCGGGACCTTACCTGTTAAGGTGACATTTTCTATCATCGCCTTTACCAACGGCTCTTTCTTGTGGAAACCGTAAGGATTCAAACCAGCCTTTGATAAGAGAACTGGCGTGAACCAGAGCTAATATCTTGGTGCTATCAAGGTGAGCACAAAATAAATTTGTGATTTATTATTAAGGTCAATTTATAAACTTGCAGTTCCATCGCTGTTATCGTTTGTTTGACGTTGTGCAGTCGCAGTTGAACTTAAAACTTTGTTATGTTTGAATGTGCAACAGCGAACGGTGACAGCAACAGAGAATATAAGTGAGCAAAAGTGAAAATAGCTTTTTAACTTCCAACGGGAACTGCAACTTCGAACTGTAACTGCAAGTTTATAAATCAGCCTTTAGTGTTTAAATGATCATCTTTTGTTACTGATTCAAAAAGGAAAGAGGTTTAAAGAAAAAATAAGATTCACTTATTAAGGCCATAAAAAGCGTTTCAACAAAAAAAGAAGAAAAAATATTTACTATTTTGCAAATAATATCAACTTACTTGCAACTTTCTTGAAGCAAAGTAACGGCAGTCCTGGAAATTGGATTTTCTCTACTATATTTGAGCCAACCTTTGGCGGAATAAAGGACAGGATTGGTCCCTTGAAGGTGTTGAATAATAAACTGACTATTTCCCGGTGCTTTTCTAAGTAACAATTGATGATCTCTTTCTCCGTAATGCGTAAATAGTCGTTCCAAAAAGGATTCATCGGACGAGCCTGGATATATCGCTTCTTCATCGAGAAGCCAAAGAAGACCTCTTCTATCGCCTACAAATAATTCACAAATATAATTAATCATTAGATTGGGTAATAAATAAATTTGAACTATAAACAGGGTATTATTGTAGTAGTTTATTTTTTTTAAATTTATGAGAAATATATTTTAATTGTGAAATTCTTTAAAAAATTAAATCTCCAATAAGACAAAAATACGATAACGGTGTATGCCCAATGAAGTACGTTTTTAACGAAAATAAAAGATAGAAGGCTCTATTCAGTAACAATTCCTTTATATTTAAACGGACGTTAAAATATTGGCGGCTAACTTCTGTCATTATTTAAACGGATCCTTTTAAAATAGTCCTCTAATAATAATCATTTTTAAACTGATGTTATTCGCCTTGTATACATAGACGGCGAAGTAAATGGTAGAAGGTATACACTGTTGGTGGATATACTACCAACAAGCATAAATAACTGCAAGAGACCTTTACCATCAAGTTTGCGATTGCGGTACAAAAAAGTTCACTCATACTGTCATTGTCGCTGATACCAAAGAAGATATTACACTAGGAATGAATGTAATGAACTTACATGTCTTTCAGTTGGATTTTAAGAACAGAGTTATTAAAGTTGGTGTCGAAGAGGTATTCCTACATCCATATGGGGACATTAACGTGCCAGTTGCTGTACAGAAAGACACAGTAGTACCTGGCAGAAGTGAAACCATTATGGTAGCAAGGTTTCAAGAAATTATAGAAGAAGGAACGCATATCATTATAGAACCTTGGAACAATATGTTTACAAGAGGTGAATCTTCGAAATTTTTTTGAAACTTTCAAACATATTTTTGAGTATAAGGAACTCATCAGAAAAATAAGTCTATTTACCTCAGTACTTTCATAATTTCATATAATAATATGCATGATGGATGGATCCTTGGAACGATGAATAGTTTGGACTTGGATTTCTGATCGGAAAGGGGTTGGTTATAACTGCTAAAGAAATTCCAATACTACGTCTTATAAACGTTAATGATCACCCAATTACCATCAAGAAAGAGACCAGCATATCGGAGCCTGTGTACCAGTAATTTCCATAATTCGTCAGAAAACAACTTCTAATAATTTCAATGACAAATTTAAGCAAATGAAAAAAAAAAGGAATTTTTTCGACGATATTGTGATATTTTTGATCCAACAGGAAGGAAACCAGGAAGAAATTTTGTTGTAAAACATAAAATTGACACTGGTGACGCCAGGCCGATTCGTCAATCAGCTCGAAGATTACCAATATCCAAGAGAGAGGAAGCTGAAAGGATTGTTTGAGAAATGGAGAAAAACAGGGTGATAGAACATTCTACCAGCCCATGGGTCTCTCTGGTAGTCCTAGTAAAAAAAAAGATGGAACTACGAGGTTCTGTGTGGATTACAGTTATCCTCTGTCTCGAATCGACGATTCCATGGATACATTGGCCGGAAGTAAACTATTTTCTACCTTAGACTCGAAGTCTGCATATTGGCAGGTAAAAACGGAACCAAAGATAAAGAAGAAACAGCTTTTACCACTGGATCTGGATTGTGGCAATTCAATGTCATGTCATTTGGACTGTGTAATGCCCTTGCGACATTTGAAAGACTTATGGAAAATGTATTGAGAGGATTATCCTGGAAAATAGTATATTTAGACGACATCAATGTCTTGGGGAAGACATTTGATGAACATCTAAAAAACTTAGATGTTTTTAAAAGACTTCAAGCTAAACCCCAAGAAATGCGAACTATTTTACAATAAAGTTAATTACCTGGGAAAAAGTCGCTTCTATCAAAGAAAACCGCGAAAACCGTAATATTATCGTACAAATTGTGCGCTCTACCCAAAAATTGTATACAGCGCATAATTTGTACGGTAATAATACGGTTTTTGGGCGTGTTGGAACAGACCTGTTGAATCAGTAGTTGATACTTCTGCCTAGCTATGATCCGTAGTATGTTTTTCATAAGTAGAGTAGGTACTTCGTGTATAAAAGAAATTGCTACGTCGTAGATACTTCTTCGCGTAGCATTAGTACCCAATTACCCACATTACATTGATTTCGGCGCGAAAAAGTATTGATTTTGAAGGGATTTCAGTATTTCATTGGCAATTTCTGGTATATTTCGCTATAATTCGAATTTACCACGCAGCGAACTTTTCTTAAACTTACAAGTGCGCCAGTATCGCGGACTGAGTTTTATGCGTGCTGTGCGCGAACGAAACATTCCTGACTTCGTATTCGTATCTAACCAGAGCTTTTTGGTTCGATTGCATAACTTTATTATAATCACATGTATTTTTTTAATCACAATAAATTCGTTAATTGTAAAACAAAAACAAGTGTTACATTATTTTTTATCAAAGAGAAAGTATAGTATCATAATCACATTTTATCCAGTAGTGATTTTTAAATTTCCGTGATGTTTTCAGATATTTGAAGAGATTTCAAGAGATTTAAAGATATTTAAAGAGATTTCAAGAGATTTCAAGAGATTTCAAGAGATTTTAAGGGATTTCAAAAAATTTACAGAGATTTCAGGAGTTTTCAAAAGATTTACAGAGATTTCTAAAGATTTACAGATATTTCAAAAGATTTCAAGATATTTCAAGATATTTTAAAAGATTTACAGAGATTTCAAAAGATTTACATAGAATTACAGAGATTTCAAGAGATTTCAAGAGATTTCGAAAGATTTACAGAGATTTCAAGAGATTTTGAGTGAAAATTTGTCGGTATTTCGGATCACCTACTCAGTCACAACACATCAAATTGTAAAAAAAAAATAAAAAGCAATTAAAACATATGATTAAATAAATCGTAATTTATTTTGAACTGACCTTCATGCAGATCCATTTGAGAAGTTCTAATTACGCTATTTTGAGCAGTTTTATCTAACAAATTAACCAAAGGTGTCGGATTAATCAAATTCTCGTTTTCGTTTTCATCGTAAGTAAAATCGATATTTTCTTGTAGGTACTTATCCTTCGGAGCGACTAGATTGGTATGATGGAAGAGTAACTGCATTCTCTCCTGAAGATAATTGTGACAAAGATCTTCGAAGGTAGCGCCTACTTGGCGTCCACAAGTCGCTGGATTTTGGAAACCAGGCGTATCTACCAGAATAATTGATGAGACTGTGTATGTTGAGGCTGATATCGATCTAAAAAAAAAATTATTATATATCTATCGTGGGTAGGCAAAGGAGTATAAGTCAAATGTTTAGAAGCTGAGTAAATCTATGTTATATGTCTTATAAGTCGACTTATACTGATTTTTTCACCAAAAAAAGGTTCAAGTTCAATAACGACTCTAATAGAAAGTATTGACTTATCCCACATTTTACACTAAGTATAGATGACTGAAACTAATTTACTCAAAATTTTGACTTGTAGTCCTTTGCCCTCACAGGATAAATATACTACTTGGATTTTTTTTTGTAATGTATTTGTAAAATAAAAAATAAATATATAATCAAGAGTAATATACCAAGACCTTGAAATAGTCAGCTATTTTTGTTGAATATAAATCTCGAGAATATTTTAATATCAATTTGATGATAATTTTTAATTGATCAGATTATTAATGCCAAAATTATGTAGAAATAAAGAAATTTGGCAACAACTAAAATAGCAGAATATTAATCAAGGTCGTGTTATATTTGGCATGAGTATTTCACTAGATCAAATATCGATTATTTCTCTAGAGAAATAGTCGCTGATATTTGGTCTAGGGAGATAATCACTGAAAGTATCCAATAAAGACAAAAAATATAATTACCTATTTAGAAGCGAAGTTACACAATTAAAAACTTCTGAATAGAGGCCAATGATAACACCTTCTACTGCTTCTAGACCGACGGCTTCTCTGTCTAAACCTTTATCAGTAGGCGAAGGCGTCCTGAAAGGAGCCCTAGGTTGATTGGGGGTGCACATGCCTCCAGAGGCCAAGCCGAATATGACTCTCGAAAGTTCCTCGATAGTGGTACCCAAAAGGTTTGCAGCTCTTTGGGCACTTTGAGGATTTGCGAATTGGTATCGATTGTTGTTTCCAGCTAAAAATTACAAAGAAAATTAGTGGTTTATGTAACAAGAGTGATCATATCGCACGGATTTGCTTATTTTATCAAATATCTCGAAAACGGTTCCTTTTGGGAAAATTTTAGATAAAGTAAAAATTGTAGAGAATAATATAACAAGTAACTTTTATTTGAAGAATTTTCTTCTCCAAACGTAAGGAACAGATTTATTCTATAAAGTAAAAAAACGACCCCCTATATAAAGTAACCTTCAGATATTCCGACTACGCCAAAAATTCAATCAGCTCACTGCAGGATAGATTAAAGCTCAAGTTTAAAATTTGGCAAAGGAAGGGAAAATTCTCAGTCTTCCACAACAAAAGTTACTTAAATTCAGTAATAGGTATATCGCTCAAGAGCGACAAAAGTTATGAAGAAAAATAAGTTTTAAAATTTAATGTTCATATTTTAAATGTCATTTGAATACTATTAATGAGCTTGGCTCTGTGATCACTATGATTTTTTGAGTACTAAATTTTTGTAGCCTGTTAAGATAATTTTGTGGTTTCAAAAAAGGTGATATTTGAAAGATATGCCACTGTTGTTGAACTCAAGTGTCACAGTTTATATAACAATACAGCTGTTAACTATTCTGGCTCATTTAGCGAAATTGATCAAAAATGGAAAGCATATAGTGCCATAACTCAAAATATGTCACTAATGCTTAAACAAAGCGTTGCTATCTACTCATTTGTACCGCTGGTGCTCACACATGACGATTCGAATCTAACACAGAGACATTAATCTATGGTCAGAGGCATATTAAAAATATGCCATTGTTGATTCAGCATGTTGGCGGAATATATGTTATGCCTTAGTGATACATTAATGATATCGAGGAGACAGTTTCAACTATTTTTATGACAGTCTTGTTTGATAAAACTATAACGAATTTTAAATAGAATGCAAATATTTCAAGGAAATTTGCATTTTTTGAGATATGCCACTATTGCCGCCGGTGAGCGATATATTTTTAACTATATGCATTATTTTTAAACAATTATTTAAATGTTATAAAATTTACATCTTACCTTTGACAGCACCTGCACATCCCAAATGGAAAATCGCCGCTAGCACCGAAAACACCAATTTCTGTTCATTTTCCGATATGCCCAGTACATTCAATGCACTACAAACTTTAACAAACTCCATTTGAGCTCTTTGTTTATCTTCGTGTTTTTGCAATAGATTTATGAACGGATTGGTTTCGTTGCCAGTAAGATTATCCAAAAACAGTTCTTTCCTCAAGTTGCCTTCTATGCCAGACAACAAACGTTGCATGATATGGAAAGTCGTTTCGGTTTCCACTTTCTTCGTTATTCTCACTTTTTCCAACATTAATACTTGGATGCTCGCCGATGCAATGACACCGCTTTGGTCGAAGTCTAAACTGAATATCTGCGTGAACCTGCAAAAAGAATTTAATATATATTACAGTCGCTAAATATTTATTCACCATTAGTTTTTTGGAAGTGAGTCAAACAAGAAAAACAATCAGGTACTAGCCTGTGATAAACTACAATTACACGAAAATAATAACATTAAAGGAATTTAAAATAAGTTGAATTGGTGAAAAAGAAGCTGGCACTTTTAAAAATTTCAATACATTAGAACAACACTTTTTTTTTGGCTATACAAAATTTCAAATTAATTTGTACCGCAATTGTCTTGGTGTGTTAATGCAAAAAATGAGTTTTGTGCTAAAATTATTTTCAATTGAAATAACATTTAAATGTAAGTAAATTAATAAGTAAAAAGATTGGCAATCTGTACACACTAAACATGAGGTAAAGCAAACGAGTTAAGTACAAACCCATCATCACAGCCTTCCAGGAAATAGTGAATAGTGAGATAAATTTTCAATTTAATTAGTAAGGCAGTTTTAGATATCGTGTTGTGAACGTATTGTCAACATAAATTAGTATTGTATTTAGTACAAATAAATTAGATTATAAAATAAATTAAATAACAAACTGTCTAAACAAACGTTACACTATTACAGTATATTAATTATATATTACCTGGTAGCATTGGTGTTCATGATCGTCTTGCAATTCCCAAAGCTTTCCAGAACGGTCCAGAGGGCGCTGAGTTTTTCTATGGTAAGTACTTTGTTAATACATCCGGCGGCCGTAACCAAATACTGCACGCAATGTCGGAAATTGGTCGTTTTTCCGGAACCCGAACGACCCATAAAAACTATACTTTGGTCTCGTCGCGTTGATAACATGGCTTGGTAGGATGACTGCGCCATTGAGTAAATATGTGGTGGCATGTCCTCTGATTTGCAGCCTTTAAACAGCGACACCACCTAAAACCGATATTTACTTATAATAAAAATTAAAGCATTATCACTGTTTCCACAATTTCGTAGAAAGATATACAGGGTGTTTTTTAAACATGTGGAAAAAATTCAATCGGGTTGTTTCTTGGACTATTCTAAGAATATTTTGTCCTTTGATGATTTTTGAAAATCTGTTTGTAGTAATTGAAATGTTAAAAAATAATAAAAATAACGAATTTTTAAAAAAGTTGTATGTTCTTGGCTAACACAGTGTAGTACCTATTTTTATTAAAACTATTAATAATTTTAAAAATAATAAAATAAAATAAAGGAAACAGAAAAATACCCTGTATAGACCATTTCATGTCACGTGATTTTGACATTGATTAAGGGACATAAAAACATTTAGTTTCTATTTTTTATGAAATGCATGTGGAAAGCCAAACTTTTTGAGCAATTTGGAAAGTTTTATTTCATATTTGTATTGTTTTTTATCGTTCATAGTTATAATTTTATCTGCTTCTTTTTTAGGATATTTTTCTGATGTCTCTCAACAGCTTGTATGTCTTTTAAAATAGTTATAATATACCCCATATTTTGTATTTGAATCCAGCTTCATAAGTCACAGGAAACCATATTTTTTCACAAGTTATTTCCTGTTACAAGTGATTTGAGAAAATCCGTGCATTTTTAAGATTTAACTGAAATTTTTTCACTTAACTTTGTTTACAATAACAAATAAATGTGTGCCCCTCAGCCAATATGGAGGCTTCGTTGAGACGTCATCCTAAAATTGTCTATTACGAAATGTTTTTTTTTATTCTTGACCTGAATGAAATTAGAAGAGTATTTTCAACGAATTTATGAAGTAATTTCAATTAAATAAGTTTTAACAAGTTCTTAAAATAGGTGTAAATTAAGTGTTAAAATACAGCTGTTCGAAATTTCCAAAGAATATAAAGATTATCGATGTTTAGTACTTTGCTTAGAACCTTTATTTGCCTAAATGTGTGATGAAATAGCGGTCTTTGGTAAATAACAAAGAACTTAAAATAAATAAAAAAAAATTACAGAAATCAAAATGTATAAATATTTCTATAATATGGTCACGGAGATATTTCGGATGAGGCAAATATTTATTAATCGTTTAAATACCCAACGAACAGGCAAATGACTAACAGACTAAATGTTGAAAGGCCATAATATGATCATGGTTTATAGGCCATCAATCATTAATTGATATTGGTCATGCGTGGGGGAATAGTCACTTGCCCATTTGTTTGTGATTTTTAAGAGCTCATATAATTTTCAATGATATCTACAAAATACAAATAGATTTTAGGTAAATGAAACCTCAAAACCGCAGTGTTGGGCTGGGCTGCAAGATAGAATGGAGCCAAGAATGCACCGTGCTTGCAACCGAAAGACTTGCTATTCGGTGGTATACGGATCAGTCTTGGATTTATCAATAGGTCGTATAGGCTGCGGCCTAGGGGTGGCAGCGTCCTAGTGGCGGCAGATTTCAGGGGACGCTCACTCGATTTCAGAGGATAAAAGTCAAACAAGTTCACTGGTTTTCTCATGGTTGTTTATACTAAGTCCTTATAGAAACTCATTCATAGTTATTAATCCTTGGTACCTACTGTTAATATACATATTTGATCTATATTACGATGATTTGGTTCAAAAATGTGTGCATTTTCACACTCACATTTCCTATAATAAAACTGTACAGTATGCAGTGAAGCTTGGATCAAACTCACTACTGCCTCTCAACGTTTTTAAGGAATCAATCTTTGTCTAATGTTTACCCTAACTTGGATATAGCTCTCCGCATCGCACTTTCCACTCAGGCTACAAATTGTTCTTGGGAAAGGAGTTTTTCCTATTTAAAACGCGTGAAAAATTATCAAAGGTCTTCATTGTCTCAAGAAAAAATGAATTCTTTAGCTCTTCTCTACAAAGAAGCAGAGATAATGAACACCATAAAGTTTGATACTATCGAGGATTTTGCTATTAAAAGTCTCATAAAAAATTGTAATTCTTGTTTCTATTTTACGCTTTTTCTTAATGACTAATTCATTAGTTTATTTAACTTTAGTGTCTTCCTTACTCCAAATTGAAAATTATTATTTTAGAAAGGTACATGGAGCGGTGGAAATAAAGTGGCCTACACTCATAAAAAATATAAATGCGGCACTGATACGGATGGTTCCAAAAACATAGAAGGAACTGGAATAAGAGTGTATGGGCCCAGAATTAGGCACTCTAAAAGTTTGGGAAAATACCCAAGAATCTTCCAGGTGGAAATTCACGCCACTGAGAAAGAAACTATCGTAGACAAGAGATTATCATTTTTTCAAAAACCTTGTACAATACCAAAAACAATAAAAAAAAATTTAAACGCAATATCACACCAAAATAAATAACACATAAACTTTATTAGTTAAGTAAATAAAAGGTGTAGCAGATTTTAGAAATCAGTTTAAATTTAAGGCGCCAACAGTAAAATTGTATTTATTTTAGAAATTATAATTGTGTACCTAGATTCTCTAACTCAAATATGCTCATATACACTTTGTCAACATACGTTTGTATTTGAAACATAAAAATTTTTAATCATTGTTTTATATATACGTCATAAACTATTCTCAAAGACAATTTTATTTAAATGCATGTACCTACATTCAGTAGATAACATATTTACTGCTATTTTCATTCACTTTACAATATCATTATCAAATATTATTATTATTATTATTGAATAAATATCTTCTTTAACTATATTAAGGCAATATCCTTTAAAACCTTTATTAAGATATACCAATGTTTTAAAACTAATGAAACCAATTAAATTTATGAAGTATTTAACTATATGGGTATGGGTATGTATTATTTTGTAAATTTAAAATTATGATAAAATGTGTAGTCAGACATTTACAGTACTCGAGAACATGACAGAATTAGAAGTAATTTTACTATAGGCATTTTCGGAAACATAACAAATCCAGATTACTGGGTTTACCCGATGGATTACGTGGATCACTGAACTTAGTGACGACAGTTTACGAACGAGTTAGATTAGTGTTCCTGTTCATCTATGTCTGTCAATTTTTGACGTTTCCCCCTTATTTGTTAAAGAACCATTTTAATTAAACATATTTGTAGTCTGTCTAATAAAGTCGCTATATGGGCATAAATATTACAAGTTACAACTAATTAAAGATAGAAAAAACTTCAAAGCTACTACTGGCACTCACCAAACACCAAAAAATTGCGTTATCCCTTTATAAAATCCTGCGGTACGCATGCGGATCTATTACTAATCTACTCGTAGAGTGGGTCACAAAATATTGATCTCGATCACAACGCTGGATCAGTAATCTACTATATAGTTTCCGAACACGGATAGGGTTAGTAACAGTAACCATAGGTAAATGAACAATAGGATCCATAATCTTTCTGATCCGAGTAAGTTTTCGAAAACGTCTTATTTATGTTTCAGTTACTATAAAGATCGAAAGATTCTAATTGGCCCCTCTGTAGAACACTCAATTCAAAGTATAAGCAAAATGTTACTGAAGCCCATAGGATCATTTATATCATCATTTAGGATTATACTGCCTGCTCTTTCACACTGTCAATATTAACGAAAAATGCTAGATGGTTGAATGATTGGTCGAAATTACTTTTGTTCGCAAGATACTGATGATACAACTTACCTTCTCTGAATAAATCGCTAAGGGTGCCATGGGATTGACAACCAACATCGTTCCACATCCAGCGTACGTATGTATGAGGTTCATGGCGTAACGCTGCCGTAACGTGTGCAACACTCCAGACTCATTTAAATGCCTTAACGATGCTAAATCTTCTGCTCTATCGAATTGAGGAGGGTTAGCCTAAAACAATAAAATGAAAATAAAAATACATTTGAGAGATGCATTGTCAATATAAGATCTTTTAGTCAATAACTTATGATTTGTGATGACAGATTGTTCAAATACATCCAATCTTTTTGCATTTAAACACTAAAGCCGGCCCTGCTACATCTCAGAATTTTGAAAGTCAATTAGTAAGGTCTATTACAAGAACGATCAGAAACCAGTCACTGACACCAGGATTCTGCGCAGTAGCATATTGGAACCGCCTAATTATCTATTGCGCAAAATCTTGGAGTCAGTGACTAGTTTGTGATCGTTGTTGGAACAGACCCCTTGTCGAAGCGCGCAAATTATCTCAGCAAACTCCCGCCAAACGTCTAGCCAATGGCGTTCAAATAAACTCAAGGGAAACTATTGACGTCATAGCGTAATACAAGAAGTTGTAAATACAATCGCTCCTCTTTTTTTTTTTTCAAGCATTTATTTCTCACATTGCATACACATCACATCAAGTATCACCACATATTTTTGTAATAAATAGAAGTGGGCCTCTAACCTTTCGTGTTTTGCACACATTATGTACTAAAACAAATCTTTTCAGGTAAAAAGAAATTTTAGCTGTATATCTCCAATCCTTTTCAAACTAAAGTGTACAGCGTTCTCTATAAAGTGAATAAAAGTTGTTATATTTTGTGTTCCAATTAGGGTTTACACATGTCCTTTTTTAAAAAGAACAGTCCTTCTTTTAAGCAAAATGTTCTTGCTACTTTTTAAAGCTTAAAATCTCCTTTTTTACAGCACATATCTTTGGAGGAGAGATGGTGAGTACAAAAATATATAAGCTGAGGATCTGTTTTTTTTTAGAAGCTCAGTAGAATGACGAGAAGAATTTTGGAAGGATTTTGTTACAAGATACCTTTTTTTTTTGTAGCAGGATGAGGACTTTTTGTATACTGGAGCTCCTGTCAGCATCGTAGTCCTTTATTCACTTTTCAAAAAGGTGGCAACCCTAGTTCCAATTAACTTTAATATTAATTCTACACTGATCGTTCAACATTTCTTGGTATTGCCAAAGGACATCTCAAACTGGATAAAGGATAAAACACTCATATGCTGGAGAAATACCGCAATTCTATCTCATTCAAAAAAGTTTATACCCAACCCTTCTATAGGAATACGACTATTTTAGAAAAATTATGTATGAGACAAAAATTATGGAGTATAACATCACAAGCGTAAATAATAGATATATTCCATGAAGTAGAAAAACGACCCCCTATATAAAGTAGCCCAAACAAATCTGACATAATTGCATTCACCCGCAGGAGGAAATTGGAGGGACTAGGGCCTCTAAACCTAAGAGGCTTAAGGAGCTTAAGGAGGAGGTAAAATATCTCGGGGTTATGATTGACTCGAGACTTACCTGGAACCAGCATCTAGAAAAAAACCACAAGTAAAGCGAAAACCTCGTTAATGATGGCAAGGCAATCCTTTGAAAAAAAAATGGGGGTTAAAACCAGACATGGTATATTGGCTTTATAACATGGTGGCGAGACCGATAATAACATACGCAACTTTGGTGTGGTGGCTAAAGACACAGCAAAGGAAAGCAATAACGAGGCTAAGCAAGGTACAAAGACTTGCCTGCCTCAGAATAACGGAGGCAATGAAAACAACCCCCACAGCTGCAATGGAAGCACTAATAGGACTCCCATCTCTTCACTATGTGATGCAACGGGAGGCAAGATTAGGTGCTTACAGATTAGGGAATACACTGAGAAATCTTGACATTAGGCCAGGTCACATGATTATCTCAAGGTTAGTGACAGGATATGTGCTAGACATGAGATCAGACCACATATCCAAGAGGTACTCTTTTAATACTCCATTCGAGGTTTTAATACAGGAAAGAGCGGAGATAACCATAAGGGAGTCCAATGCCCAACGACAGGAACAAACCTAGTATACAGACGGGTCTAAGACTGCGGAAGGCACTGGGGCGGAAGTATTCTCCAAAAACCCTGATACTAACCATAGCTATGCTATAGGAATACATTCCTGGGTATTTCCGACAGAGGTATACGCAATTTTGCAATGTGCAAAAACGAACAATGAAAGAGCTGTCGAAAATCAGCATATTCAAATAATGTCAGAGAGCCAAGCGGCTCTTAAGGCCATATCGAGTCAGAAAGTTACGTCGAGGCTGGTACGGTAATGCATCGAAGAACTAAGAACACTGGCAAACCAAAATAGAGTAAAACTATCTTGGGTGCCAGGTCACCAAGGGATCGAAGGCAACGAAAAGGCTGACGGACTTGCAAAAAGAGGGTCGGAAGAAACACCGCAACCAGACACAAACTCAGGAGTACCAAAAAGTACAGTCCGGGGTTTCATAAACGACTGGATTCGGGAACAAACATATTAACTATTGGGGAAGCACCCCAAAAAAGGCACATGGAAAAGCATTCATAGGCAGTCCATGTCCCAAAAGAACTTGAGAACTACTCTTTATGAATAGAAACCAGTTGAAAAGTCTAACAGGGTTCATGATTGGGCACGCCCCAGTAAAGGGACACTTGAACAAAATTGGCATGTACAAAGGGGAACTCATGTGCCGACTATGTCACAAGAAACCAGAAACGGCCAAACATATACTGTGCGAATGCGAAGCTCTAGATCGCAAAAGACAGGCATTTTTTGGACAACCCCAGGTTGATCCAACAACGTATAGAACCCACTCACCCAAGGATCTGTACAAACTTGTACAAGGTACAAAGGTGACAGAGTAGGTGCTATGAACTAACATGGGGTAAAACACAATAAGCCAATAGGCTTCAGTGTTATTCGGGGACATAGCCAGACGAGTCCAGGAGAAAAAAAAAGTACCCCCTCCCCAAATGTTCCAAAATCTATTCAACTGTCGGAGGAAACAAGAATATCTATACTAAGTCATACGCAGGCTTTTTGAAAGATATTAAAAATAAAAGAGCATTGAGAGGTGGGTGGTTAGAGATCCAACAATCCGCATTCGAATCCTGTCGACGACGCTGCTATTTTCCTTTTGATACATTGCAATACCTGTTGCGGTATTAGCCAAAGGAGGGAAACGGTCGCTCGACTTTGATGTGATACGGCTATGAATTTTTCTATTTCTCCTTTGTTTTTATCTAAGTATTTGCCTTAAAGGGTACTTGAAATAAAAACAATTTACAAAATGTTCCATTTCAAATTTGAAAATGGATAAATACGTGTGTGAAAATTACATAATAGTGTATTACATAACAAGAGCAGTAAGAAGCTAATTACATGCACTTTAAGGGACAATATTATCACTTACCTTTTCGATGTCATCTTCATCTACACAAAGGATTTCTCCGGTAGCTTCGAGTCGGATTTTAATTTTTCCAGGTTCCTGTTCGCCTTCGCTTTCTTTTCTTGCCGCTGCGAATCCTCCTCGGTGCATAAGCCATAATTTTTCCGCATCCAGCCATAATTTTTCGTTTACCAAATGTTCCTCTGTTTTAGCCTGCAACAAAAAATAAATTCAGTAAAATTTAATTGTCTCTGCTTTTTATGTATTCAAATTTATCTTTGAATCGATATTTTTGCTTTTTTTAATGATATTCCATGTAGTATCCCTTTTGTTATTGTTATGTGTTGCTCGGCATTGCACGAATATAGATATAAAATAGTAGTAGTCAAATGTCAATGTTAAAAAACTATCAAATATATTTTTAATTTCTAATGGTCTCTCAATCTCCTTTACAATTTATCCTAAGGAGTTAAAACATTCGATAATACAAATTTTTGAGAATCTTTTGTTGTTTCTTTGAAACTCATGCGTCTAAATTCCAAGAAACAAAATCCTCCTTAAAGTAGATTTCGGGAAGATTTTGTTGAGTGAAAGTTACATAATCTGTAAGAAAACAATATTTAAAAAAAAATAATCAAACCTCGCGTGGTATTTGGAAAGATTATTTAAAAGTAAGATTCAAGTCGAAAGTGATGTCGATTCTTTATAAATATATATATTTGAACAACCAAAACGATTTTTGTCTATTTCTCATGAGCTTTTCGACTTTTTTTTTAGAATTCACTAAGAGAGGATATGATTTTGTATCTTGATTTTTTTTTATAGAAATGTTTAGGGCTCCGTCAAATATTTCGCCCTTCAAAAAGGTTCCGTCACGTAATTGAAAAAAATCCATTTATAATTATTTGTTTTTTAACCGACTTTAAAAAAAGAGGAGGTATATATTTTTTTTATGTATACTCAGCGATAACTCTTTAACACGGTGTCCGATTTCAATGATTCTTTTTTTGTTAGAAATGGGGTACTTCCCATATAAATTTGGTCAAAATCTAGTAATTGGATCCATCAGAAAATCCTCATTTTTATGTATGTTTAACGATAATGCTTCATCACCTTGTCCGATTTCTATAATTCTTTTTTTGTTAGTAAGGGGGTACCTCAGGGTCCCATATAAATTTGGTTAAGATGTGGTAAATTTTTAATTTTTAATACTTGTTATCAAATAAATATTCCTGTAGACATATCTAAAATTTGTTGCTAATTATATTACCATTTTTTTTTAGATTTAATTTTTGTTTATTCTTAGCTGAAATCCGATACTGCGATCACGTTCCAAATATTTGTTCAAAAACTCGACAAAAGAGTGAAAGCAAACCACCAACTCTTGAAACTCCCCGAGATAAATCAAATGTACATTACTGAGTATGAATATAAGTAGTATGTAATCCAATTAGTACAGAAATTCAAGAGTTAGGTAAGCATTTCCCGTCTCAGAGCAGGACCGTATTTGATGTTTGAAAACGTATTTATTTTAACAGAGAATTCTAAACATGTATTGTATGGATTATTCAACAAAATTTTGTAAATTGTTCACCATGATTTTCATATGAAAAAGAGGCATTCTGAAAATAATTTACTTATTTTGCACAGATTACTAAAATGCAAATGCATCCATAAAATGTTCATAAAATAATCATGTAATCCATTGCTAGTGGTAGGAAATTGGGATTATTACCATTTACACTAAGCATTGTATGCCTTACTATAAACTGATCTAGAATACTGTTCAAATATTTGGGGAGTCGCAATATCTTCCATTTTTGACTTCATTTAGAGAAACTATCCACTATTTGTTTTTAGCCTGTAGATTTGTAAAATAAATTCAACTTAAGATATATAATTAGTTGTAATTTTCCATTGTATTATGTTTAAACTAAAAAAAAAAACAAAATTATATCTGTATTTTTATTTCAAATGTTAACAAAATCAATAATCTTTATTTTGAATTCGGTCCTGGAAAACAATAAGATAATAAGACAGTACGAATCCACTTGCAGATTCTCTTAGAAACGGAATGTTTTAGTTTGCCAAGAGTGAAATTTGTTGGTTTTTGAGAACGTGAAATGTACGTGGGAGTTCATTTACACAGTAAAATTAATAATTACTTTAAAATAAATGTTCTATTGAATTAATAGTATTCCGTTAATTGTTAATTTAATGAATAATAAATTAAATACGATATTATTTTAGGATTAATTCAACCAATATGTATTCTATTTTAGACAAAATCTTGGTGGTGTATTATTTGAACAACTTAGGAGCAAATCAGCTAAAGCGATGAAGCGTTCGGATAAAGATTTGAAACAGAGGCATAAGTCAGTGGTACCACATGACTTTAAACTTCAAAAGTCCCCCCAGAAAATAAAAGTACTCATTCATGCCCAGGGGTACACTAGCAGAAACCTTGAAAAACCGCAGAGGCATCAACATCAACCCAAACAGAGCCATTCGCGCAACATAACTCGCCTTCCTAAGTGAACTAGCAAGTGAACTAGCAAGTGAACTAGCAAGTGAACTAGCTAGTGAACTAGCAAGTGAACTAGCTAGTGAAGGAAAATAAGCAAACATTTCATATTCTTGAGAGATATCTCAGATGATCCGTTTATAATGTTTTAGATAAAGGTTCGTCCTTAAATTTTAACTCTCTGCCCATACAAAATATGATTCCTATTGAACCTGTCAGATATTTAATTAAGCATCAGCAGATCTTTCTAGAAATAAATCATCTAAGTACCTGAAATTAAGGCCATCCGCTCTTGTAAGCCATGTAAGAAACAATTATAAATATTTTCTTAGTAAAGAAATCAAATGGAAAATCCGAATAGGTTCATTAAAATAATACAATTTAAGTTAACAGTAACATAATTACTAAAGGTTGTTTTATGCCAACTTTGGACACAAAAGAATCATACTTTATATAATTAATACCAAGATCTCAAGCAGTATTTAAGATTCTTTTTCAATGATATTTTATATGAATTTTGCTGTCTCTCATTTGGATTATGCACTGCTTCCTTAGTTTTTACTAAAATTATCAAGCCTGTGATTTCCATTCTTAGAACTAAAGGGTTGTCATTTTTTGTAGTATATACCCAAATAATTATTTTATATTATTGGGAAAATCTTTTGAATACTGTAAACAAAATATTAAACAGGCTTCATCTATCTTATCAACATTAAGGTTTATAATATCAGACAGAAGAGCTATAATTATTTCAGTTTAATTTTAATTGGACACTAATAACCCTGTCTCACTGAGAAAAATAGGATGGATATTTTAGGGTTGCTCAATTGAGTCCTGAGATTTCTCTAGATTAAAGACTAAGTGGGAACTAAATGATGACATGTATTTTAAATGATAAGTTCATGAGGTATGTCTCATGAAAGAAACAGCCTTATGCCTCAACTATTGATACATTCAGTCAGATTATAATAACTTTTAAAGTTTTCTGCCTTTTTTCTTTTATCTTACCAGTAATATAGAAAATTATACATGATCAGGTAACAGTGCCTTTTTGGACTACCAGACCTTGGTGGCACCTGTTTACGAATGAAGTTTAGAACTGATTAAATTCGACCCTGGTCTCTTACTTTAATTGACTGACAGGGTTGCATATCCTTAACAAGAAACCTTTCCTAGTAGAAGGGTTTTATCCTTAAAGAACCTGGACTCAATACTATTGAGGTTATGCTGTCATCTATGTTAACTTCTACATTAAAAAGAATATACGGTGAAGTTGAAACATCGGTGGAAGTTTTGTATGTCAGAGACAACAGCACCTTCATAGGTATTGTAGGTTTTTACGAAACTGATAAATTTCGGGGAAGTCCTGGACCACAGCTGAGGTTTGACTTTGTAAATCGCCGCTACGTCTCAAAGAAATTGTTGTATATTGTAAATATTATTGATACGCCACTGGGATATTTATTTATTTCTTGTGTTGATTTGTTATCGCTCAGGTATGTCGATGGGTATGTACATAGTACAACATTAAAAAGATATTATTCTTGTATGGACAGTTAATAAATAAAGAACATAAATACTTAAGGTACCATTTGGGTAGGCGCGTCAGGAGACAAGCGACCACTGAGGCGACCCCAAGGTCGAGTAGGACGACAGATGCATAAATGTTACGCTTCGTACATTTCGTAAGCTTGAGAAGTGTCGCGCGACACTTACAGGATAACCATTCGAGGGAACGATCAGCGTTGCCAGACCTACTGTTTTCACGTAGATCCACTGTTTTTGTCTCTAGCAAATTTTGTTCTTAATTTATTAAGTTTGCCTCATTCTTTAGCAAATGGTTAAAGAATATTTTCTCTAGTAAATTTTCTGCAGTAAAAGCAGCGTAATAAGCATCCACTACTCTAGGTTGGCTCCATAAAAAAAAACATCAAGATAATCATTGTTTTTATTTAAAATGAAACAAAGAATTAATAGGGCATCATAAAAAGAACATGCACACTACGATTTTGAATTATCTGATTCAAACTGATCTATTATTTTTCATTGTTTTTTTTTTTTGTTTCCGTACGTTAAGTATATATTAAAAATATTATTTGTGTTTATTCTTTGTTTACCTTCTAATTTGGGTCGAAAAAAAGTTTATTTTTCGTTTCTTATATACTTGTTTTTTTATTTACTGCACCGCAAATTTTAATTATTTCCCCCTGTATTAAAATCTACTGTTCAGATCTACGGTTTTTTTTGACCCATACTCTTCCAAAATCTGGCAACACTGCCTAGATCGAAAGAAATGTTCAACCTATTCACCTCCAAGCGATGAAGCGATGCTCGAGGACAGTGACTTCGAGTGCGACAGGCAGCAAACCTTTGCCCCGAGTCAGATTCAGAAGTGTCATCTGACGACACTTCTCGTGTCGCGCCGTGAGAAATGTGTTCCATATAATTGTATGTATTTTAGATGTGAAGCGACACTTCTCGGTCGCGTCGGCGGTCGTATGTCGCGTCGGCGGTCGTCTGTCGCGCCTACCGAAATGGTACCTTTAAAGTGGTGAGTTTGATTCTTCCAAATTGAAGGCTTCATGTGTTATATAAACTTCACATTAAGGACAATATAACAAATTGGCGACAAGGATATAACAGAAATGAAAAAGTCGCTATTTTCGCGAAAAGTCGATATAGCTTTTGT